AATTTAAATGAATGGAAGAAAGCATTAAAAAAGGACTTTATCAGAGTGCTCTATAATATTTTTTTCCAAGCCAGATTGTTGTGAAACTGGTCTTGATTTCTGGGTTTAAAAGCTCTGACTTAAGATAAAAATCACGGGCCAGAAAGTCAAATGACTGTTTTAAGGTCAGTATTTTCTTTAGTGACATTTGCTAGATCGTGATGTCTATAGACCAAAAGCCTGCATAAGTTTCAAGGATAGCTGGTCCCAATCTAATGATCAGTATACAGGAATACCTGAACTTCTTTGGTTTTATTTGATAATTAGGGAAGATCTTGGTGGAAAATGTTCTTGTATTTTTTCCTTTTTGTATTATTTTATTTAAGAAGGTTGGAAGAACAGTCATGAGCTGTGCCCTGAGTCCCTGAACGACTCACCACAGCAAAATTAGACAGAAGTTAGGGGGTGGGGAGGCCAGCCCTGCTCATAGTCTGGGACAGACAGGACCCAGGCACAGCCACTGACCATCCTTCAGGCTGTGCTCTGGATACATGGGTCCTACCACAGACAACCTGGGTAGCAGCTACTTTGGGGTGCTGCTGTCCTTCTTGGGAGTAGTAGGTTTCTTGTTCTGCCTGAGGTGTCCCTGGATGGTGAAGGCAGCCACATGAATGGACTTGACCTTAGCAAGAATCTGGGTGAAGGGCTTATGCTCTGAGTCGTACTTGTAGATGCATTCTACCATGTGGAAGAGACTATTAGGGGCCACAGCTTGAGAGAGTATCAGGAAGTAGTTGGCTTTGCTCTTCCCAATTTCCTCAAGAATGTCGTTCCTCTGTGTTTGGTTCACCTTGCCCACCAGGCAATAGTGTGACAGGGTGTTGTGGAAGATGAACTCATTGGACTTGGTGCTGAACTCCTTGTATACCTGTGGACCTGTGTTCTCAGGCACCACCACCAGGGAGGAGGCATTGCTGACATTACCCCAGTCGGTGTTCCCAGCTACCAGGCAAGCCACTCTGTGCCTTAATACTAGATGGGGATGGAGCTTGCAATGGGCACCTCTTTACATCATGTTATGAAATAAGATCATCAAACAAGAGGCTAAATGTTCAAGGAGCTATTTAAAATCAGTATTTTTCTTGGTGACATTTGCTAAATCACTCTGTTTAGTGCTGAAGTTTGGAGATGTATCAAGGACAGCTGGAAACAATCTAAAAAATCCACACAGAGGTCTAAACTTCCTTGAGTTCACTCAGCAAATCAGGACTGGGCTCAGAGAGGAATGGTTTTATATTTCACAGTAGGAGACTCTAGTCTTTAGGAAGAACTGTCAAGGTAACCCTTGTTTCCTCATCTCATTCCTGAAAACGTCTTTATTTTAAATTTTTTTAAAAAAATTTTTATTTTAATCATTGTTTAAATATAGTTTTCTCGTTTTTACTCCCAATCCAGCCCCCCCCACCCTCCCCCACTTCCCTCCCATTACCACTCTCCCCTTAGTTTATGACCTTGTGTCCTTTAAGTTTGTTCCCGTGAACCCTTCCCACTGTCCCCTTAAATTCCCTCTACTCTCTTCTGTGGGCATTGTCAGCCTGGCCTCTATTTCAGTGTCTTTGGTTACATTTTGCTTGTTTCTTTGTTTTGTTATTTAGGTTCCTGTTAAAGGTGAGATCATACGGTATTTGTCTTTCACTGCCTGGCTTGTTTCGCTTAGCATAATGTTTTCCAGAAGTTTTCTTCTCTTAGGAAACTGACTCTGCTGTGCAAAAATAAAGTGGGTGGAATCTGGCTGAAATGTTTGTGCTCCTAATATCCAAATCTAAGCTGAATGCCGTTCTACCTAAGTAGGTTCAGGCTTTCTGCATGCTGGCATTGGAGCCTTGTACTAGCAGTGAGACTGGCTGGTGAATTTACCACAATAATTAATTTCCATTCCTTCATCAAACAATGGCTTAGTGCCTAGTCTTTTGCCAGAAATGGTGCTAAGTGTCAAATAAAAGGACTCTTTTCAAAGTTGTTTTTTTTTTTTTTTAAACCTTGGGAGGCTCAGCAGGAGGCACTTTTTACAAGTTCAAAGAGTGCTTGAAGTTAATGTCAGTCCTTCCCTATCTGGAGAGACTGAGGTAAAAAAGTAAAGCTCAAAGTGCTGGAGGCTACCCTAACACCTTCTGGGTACAGACCTAAGTTCCTGCCCCTTACCACCAGCCCACGGTTTATAACCACTGAAAATTTCAGAGTGGGGAATAAACATTGGCCTTGAGGTTGAAGGTGCACCTGGCTGCTAGGGGTGGGGTTCTGAGCCCAGAAAGTGACATGTTCATGAAGTCAGCTTCCAGATTAGTGGTTTCTCAACCATTTTGCACTTCCCATTCCCTGGTGAAAGCTGAGGTTCTCTTCTCAGGAAAATGAAATCCACATACATACATACTTACAAATGACTTCAGAAGGCTTATATGTTAGAAAACGCGTCTTGGTAGTGGAGTATTTCTGCAAATTCATTTGGCACTTGAGGGCAAAAGACTCACCTCCAACAGCCTTAAGTGGCAGAGCCCAATTTCCGAACCACTAAGTATCCACTATGCCTGCTGCCCTGCAACTCTGCATGGAAAGCTCGGCCAGGGCTGGGGACTCAAACTGCTGAGCCCCCAAAGCCCGAGTCGGGGTCTCAGCACCGGCCATCTGCTTCTAGGCTCCAGGAGGCACTGAGCCCAGGATCCGATATTGTGATCCTTGCCTCTCCTTTGCTTCATTCGCCTTCCCTGCCTCTGTACCTGACGGTGCTCTTGCGTTTTACAGAACAGTTTTTCCATTCTCTGGTTCCCCTACCGCCCTGCCGGTGCGCCTGGAGGGCGAGTTTCGCACACCCAGCTCCCGTGTCCAAGCTTTTATTCCCTCATGGCAGTGGCGCCCCATCAGTTAAGAAGGAGTAAAGTTTACTAAGGGTATCTTAGAAGTTCGGTGTCCCCAGGCAAGGAGGTAACCAGCCTGGAAGGAGAAGCGACGTGGTGCAGGGAAGGTGTGCCCTCGGAACTGCTGAGGATTCTGGAGAGTAAAGACAAAGTGAGGACCGCTGGCTGAGGTCACAGCACATGTGGGGGTAGTTTCTTTCTGCCTGGGAACCATGTACCTGGGGTTCTGCCTGCTCTTTACAGCCCTGGATACTTTTCCTGTGTCTGCTCTGTACAGTCTTGTGGATTGCCTGCGGCGTGCCAAGACCGGCATATCCTAGGGACAATGAGAAGTTTCTTTCTCCGCACTCTACAGGCAGCAAGTCAGGATCTCAGATCTTCCAGTCGGGCTTGGGGCAGAAAGCTGAGGGGAAGGGTCCTGAAACCAGTGTGCAGGTTGTGAGAGGGTCAAAGTGCTGCGTAGGTAGGTGTTGCAGAGGACGCTTGTTTTTTGAGGACAGGTATGATGCAAACACACCGCGAACATGCAGGTGTGTAGGTACGAGAGGCTCCCGAGGTACGAGAGGATCCCGAGCAGGCTTGGGACGTGATTCTGCGCGAACCCGGGCGGATAACCTTGTGCGCATGTGTCGTTTTTGTGAGTGCCGGTGTTTTGGGGAGTGGGCGTTATTTTGGAGACAAACGAGTTTGCGTGTGTGGAAGAGTATGACTGGAAGTGACGGCGAGTGTTTGTCTCAGGAGGGACTTCGCAGCTCCGTCAAGCCTGCTCTGCTCTCTAGTGGAGAACCGTAGTGCCGAAGACGCAGGTGCAGGTCCGGAATCGCGCGCCACTGGGGCATCTTGGCAAACAGCAGTCGGTAAGAAGGGTGGCTGGACTTATCGCTCCAACAGGCAGATGACATGGATGCAGGGGATGCAGGGAGAGGACTGGGGCTGCTTGAATGCTGGGGAGACATCTATGCCTTGCCCCTTCCCGCTGTCGGCCGGTGGATCATTAGCTCTTTGTGCACACGTGATGGACCACAGCGCCGGTCAGGACACAAGGCGGAAAAGCCTTTAGTGTGGACCACGAACTTTTATTAGTATTAGTATTGTTAGAATGAATCTTGATCTTAAGGAATTCCCCATATGGACCAGGAAACTCTTCCACATCCCTACGTAGCTAAGGGAAAGGCAGATGGCTACTAATGACATCACTCCTTCAAGACGAAAATAGAGTTCCCATTTCAAAGATTAATACTGTTGACTGTTGAAACCACATGCGGTTTAGGGGCACCGATCCGCCATGCAGGCAAATATCCGCATATAACTACAGCAGCCCTATGTGTACTCGGATTCCCAACGGTGGAGCTGACCCTTGAACAACACAGTTTCAACTGCGCTGGTCTATTGCAGTGCCAACACTTAATTCTACAGCACGAGTCACTGAACTTTGCGGGGTAAACTGAAAAAAAAAAAAATCCAAGTAATTAGACCCACGTGGTTCAAGCCCATGTTAAGGGTCAACTTTACGTTGAGGCCCTGAGAAGTTACTTGTCCATAATCCTACCGCCTGGTATTTGTTCAGCTGTGATTGAGTTCATTCTATTCCATTTCTTGCTCCCACCTCCATCTCCTGTTCTCACAAGCTCCACTCTTCCGTGGGCGGTTCCAGCTGCCTGAATTCAACACCCTGCTGGGACCCATAACCAACCCTATTAGGCATTAATGCTTTCAACCTCACTTGGAAGGGGTTGAAGGCCAGATTTGGGGGAGCCAGGAATCCCTGCAAACCTGGATGGACCCTGCCCTTCAAGACCACACAGCTACAGATGGAGTGGGATGCACTTCCAAACTGTGGAACTAAATAGGCAAAACTTACCATGACTACAAACTTTCATCAAACTCCAGCTCAGTAAGAGTGTTTCTCATTGGCCTTCAAATGTTTCTCTTCTGCCACCCCCCACACTTCCATCAATGATCTCAATGCAAATGCAAAGGAAATGGCCCTGCTGGATATTCCAGTCTAGCAAGTTGGTGACATAATCCGATTTAGGCAGGTGATCCTTCTCTTGATTAGTTAGTTGCCTGGAGCTCCTGCACCACCCCAGACCTGAGCTGAGAGGAAAACAGCAGCCTTTGGAGCTGGGAGGCATCAGAGCCACTGTCCATCTGGAGTGTCTTTGCTGCTTCAGCAGGACCAACTCCGCTGCAAGTGTCATCATCACTGCCTCCACTCCAAGCCACTGCTGCCAGGTGAGACTTGAGACTCCCCTCTCTCTTCTTCTCCACTCCCTCTCTCTCCATTATACCGTCTCTTGGTTGATCTCTCTGCCAGTCTCAGGGTTTCTGTCTACTTCTGTCTGAGTCTCTTCATCACAACAATCTCTGTTAGTCTGCATTTCATCCCAGAGTGCTACTCCAGCAAGCACTGGACACTATCAGTTCAAAGACTCCCTACACCACTCTTCCCATGCAGAGCTGGGTTCTGGTCTTGCTGTCTTTTATTGCACATTTGCTTATACCAATCTCTGAAAAGGATGCAGGTGTAACTCTCTGCAGACTGTGTGCCCATGGATTTGGTCTAGTGCCTAGTGGTCTCTGGAAAATCAGTTCGGAGCCTGGGCCAGCACATGTGATAGGCATGTAAGTGCAATGCCCTAGGGTAGGCAACACTGAATTGCAAGCATCCATCCTAAGGTCTTGGAGCTTTTTTCCCAGTTTAAGTCCTGAGTCCAAATTAAATACTCTGCTAAGCTTGGTTATTACAGGAGTCTTTTTGCTAGAGGGCAGAACAGCCAAGCAGAATTTGGTCTTCAGTTTCTCAGATTCCAGTTGCAGAGATATTCCCTCTACCTACATTCCCCCATATACGTGGCCAGTGTGAACAAAAACCTCACACAGGGAGTACAGCTCTGGCTGCACTACAGAAAAAGCTGTTGTGGCAGGGCATTCAGACACTGTACTTGAGAGCCCTGGCTAACAGGTGTATGGGGGAGTGGGTGAGGTGTACTGCAGAGAAGCAAGCTTACCCTCCCCACCCAGATTCAAGGTGGGATCACTAGTCCAGCTTTGCTAAAGAATGCACACTATGTGTCCACCAGACCCTTCAGCAGTCTATTCGCTGATGAGGAAACAGTGTTGAAGAGAAATGAAATGACCAGGCTGGATCCATAATGCCAGCGAGTTACATGCAGGACCAGTGCCCAGGTCTCTGGCCTCATAGAACTTTGAACTGCTGCAAGTAGGTGCTGTCATTCTAACCCCACCAACAGGCATCATGGGCTTCTGGAAGTTCTTCCCCTTCTTGGCTCTTAGCATCTTGGTCCTGTACCCGGCGGGTATCTTCCAGGCAGCACTGTTCAGGTAAGACAGCCCTGCCAGGAGCACACTCCTATCCCACTGGCCCTGGGATCACACAATTCTGTCACCTGAACTGTGGTGTGCTGAAAGTTTAATGATTGCCCTTGGGGTGGAGGTGGGGGAATGGACGTAGGTAAACCTGCATATAAGTTTTTATGATATAGAGATGTGTCACACACAATTTACAAATAGAAATCAGATATATAATACTCTTTACTGTGAATTTCATATACTTCTTTGAGCCCCACAGAATGCTTTCATTGCTTTTCACTAAATATCTGTATCTGTATAAACCTATTTATCTAATTCAACCACAATTTGAGAAATGAATTGCTAACTACCGATAAATTTGTTGTTATAAATCTAATATGTAATCTATTGATCTAGTTTCTCACTCACATATAAATATTTAGTAAACTGAAACATTTTTCAGATTCAAACTGAGTTTTATCATTTGATTTTTAATAATGGCTATATTTAACACTACACTCATAAACTTCCTGAAAATCTAACCGTAAGATTTCACAAGCCTATATGATCCAGTTCCAGTACACCAAATCTTTGATATTACACCAGAGCCTGACTCCTGGTGAATCAATGTTTTTGGAAAGGCACTGGCCTCATGCCCTGTCCACTGTGGGTTGAGGTGGCCACATACTCTGAGGAAGTGGCAGAAAGTGGAAAACTTGGATGTTTATCCTGGGGAGGTGGTAGACCATAGTTCAGAGCCGCTATTGGGTTTATTACCCCTCCCCACGTCTGCCTGAGAGAGCAGCCTATACCCTGCTTCACTCAGTGAAGGAGAAGGGGAATTTCTAGCGGATGCGCTGATGAAGGACCATGGGAAGAGGATGGCCAGTGAGCAGAAGCAGGAGACCGAGGACTTCAGGTAGGTTACATGCCTGCCCAGCACAGGGCATGCCCTCTCCCCAGTCATGGCCAGGAAGACATGTCCTGATAAGTAGGAGAGAATGGAAATGGACAGGTGACCAGTAGGCTGTTCACCCCAGCCTGGGTCCAGCTGTTCTCAGGCTCCACTGAAGACAGAGGTCAGATGGAGAGACAGGGTTAAACCACATGTAAAAAATCCACTTCTGCAAGTTAGGGAAGGTGTGGAATCACTCACTCTGGAAATTGGTCTGGCAGCATTGAGGAGTCCTCCTAGCATCAGAGGAGTTAGGACTGGGAAGTGTGAAGTCAGCAGATGGACCCCATATTTTAGAAACTCAGGATATTTTAAAAATCTGGCTCTACCTTGTTAACCTGCATGTGACTTTCTGTTATACCTGTACATTTACAAGGTGAAGCCAAAGGCTTTGCTGAGGGTAGGGTCAGGTGGAACAGTGCCTGAGGTAAGTCTGGAACCTTTACATGCATAGGTTCCATGGAGATGTGCATGCTGTCACTGGGTTGGGGAGAGCACCCTTCTCCAGCCCCACCTCCCTGTGTACCCTGAGCTTGGAGCACACATCAGCTCCTGCTCTGGCTCTGGCACTGCCTGGGCAGAGGCGTGGTTTGTACCTGCATCTGCCCTGAGAACCTCTCTGCAGAGCATGAAGGCCTGAGCAGCATGAGAAAGGCCAGGAACTCTCTCTTTCCCACTGTAGCCCTTCCCTACATGGCCCTGGCTCAGCAAATGTTTAAGTCTTTTTTTTTCTTTTATCTTCACCTGAGAACATGCCTATTGATTTTTAGAGAGAGGGGAAGGGAGGGAGAGAGAGAGGGAGAGAAACATCATTCGGTTACCTTCTGGGACTGGAGACTGAACCTGCAGCCTAGGTATGTGCCCCAACTGGGAATCAAACCTGCAACCTTTCAGTTTACAGGGTGACACTCCCACCAACTGAGCCACATCGGTCAGGGCATGTTTGAGTTCTTCTAATGGAGGATGTGTGAGCTGCCCTCCTGTATGCCCCCCTGCCTGCCCCTCCTGCCCAGCTCAAATTGTTGTCTTCTCCCTTTGACCTTCTGTGGGACAACCACAGGGGCACACCTGGTCATAGTATTGTCTGGCATCTCTTTTCCCTGCAGTCTGGACATCTCCAGAGCTAAGTGGTACAGTAATGAGTACCTGTCTGCCTGGAATTTACACACAGGACCTTAACAAGTTGCACACATTCACCCAAATTACAACTGGAGTTAGAGCACCTGTCAGAAAAAAGGGGGGGGTTCATGTCCAGCAGCTTGGAGGAAGACCACAGCCCTCATGTTGGCATGCCCAAGGATGCCTCCTGTCCCCACCCCTTCTTTCTAGCTTCCTTTCTTGCTTCTTTCCTCTCTTAGTAAGAGAACGTGCAATCCTCTCTTATTGCTCTTTGGGCTGGTATCTAAAAAGCACTGAGCTGTGGTGATTATTGCTCTGGCCCACGTCCCAGGCTTTATGAACTTAGACCTGTGCTTTACCCCAGGATAGCTGGACATGGCATGGTGGGTGGTCCCTTTGAGCAAATGTAAGTCATAAGAACAGTTGTGCTAAGGAGCAGGTAAGGACTTGAGGCTGTAAATTCTCTATCTCTTCTTGGTAAGACAGGAATTTTTTATTGTCTGTGAATGAAATATGATTTCTAGATAGTCTTTGAGAATGGATTGGGCATGACACCATAATTCCCTCTAGTCTTATAAGCTTTGGTTGATTTTTTGCATATTTATACAGGAAAGGGTGGCTGTCACAGCTCTGTGTTCCTTGGCCAGTTACCAAGTATTACCTTTGGTTTTTGAACACATCTAAGAATGTCTACAGGAAGTGATTGTGGCATTTCCCCCAAAGGCCCTGTGATTTCTGCTATGATAATCATGTTTAGGTGAAAGACTTAAGGCTAATAGGTGACTCTCAGAGAAGTAATTTTGCCATGATGGTCCTGTAGGGTGGGCTATCCTGCCCCTATCTCCTCAACCTCTCACTGATAGGTCCTCTTTTTCTCCATTCTGTAAACCAGTGTCACTGTCCAGAAAAGGGCCTGCCACTTTTCTACCTGCATGTTGGGTAGCCTGGCGGATTATCTGAGCAAAGCTGCGCAGAAGAACAAATCCATGGAAAACAACCTTCTCCCTGAATCCATGGGCCGTCGCCGCAGGTACCTTCAGTCCTGAGTTGTAAAAAAGATTCCAGGAAGGTGACTGCCTTTGTCCTGCTAGATAAGGATGGCGACTGGGTCCTGCGGGAGTACAGTCCTTGCTCTAACCCTCCCTGGGCCCACAGAGTAAAAAAAAAAAAAAAATCCTCAGCAGAAGTTGCTCACTCCGATTTCTGGAGAAGGGCAGAGAGTCCCAATAGTTGAAATCCCTAGATTTTGGGTTTGTTTCTCTGTTTTCCAGTATCTCCCTGTGATACAGGGATCTTCTGTTAGGAAATATAAATCCTGTTTATTTAAAACACTGTTCCCTGCAGTTATAATTGTGATTATTCTAGTATTTGAGTTTGAAAGGTAATGACACTATGCTTTTGGACTATATATTGCAATGTTGTGTACATCTGAATTTGGAGCATATACCTGGGGTCAAAAACTGTGTTTTCTGTGTACTACCTACAGATTACGGCCAAATATTTTCTGTGAGCCTGTTTCCTCATTTGTAAATTGCAGATTTTGATAGTACCTACTGCTATTAAAAATAAATGATACAACAGATGTCAAGACACTCACAATTAATAAGGAACTAAATTGTCATTATATTTTTTTCCTCTTAGGTCACCATGAAGCTGAACTCTACTACTTAAAATTTGTAATGAAAGCAACTTGTAGGAAGTAGTATGGAAGATACACATATTTGCATCCTTCTTGACATTGAAAACAATCTTCTCGTTGGAAAGAAACTCAAGCTAAATATAAAATATAATCATTGTAGTTATCTAGTGTGCATGTTTTTAAAAATATTTGATACTGTACTCAATAAATATGACAGCATGTCTCATTGGCTTATCTGGTAGCAAATCTGGGCCCTGTCAGCCCATCATTCAACTGTTGATGGTAGTGTTACTGTTAAACCACAAGATGACATAAAATGACTGCCTCCTAGGTGTCTGGGGACACAAGATATAACTGTGGGTCCAGCCCTTGCTGGTAAACTGAAAGGTCACAGGTACGATTCCTGGTCAGGGCACATGCCTGGGTTGAGGGTTTGGTCCCTGGTTGGAGTGGATACAAGAGGCAACCTGTCAATATTTCTCTCTCACATCGATGTTCTTCTCTGTCTCCCTCTCCCTCCCTTCCTCTCTCTCCAAAATTGATAAACATGTCCTTGGGTGTGTCCAGAGAACTCTTTGTTTAACAAATGTTAACATTATTTGTCAACCTCATCAACACTTAAAATGTATTCTACATACACATCAATGGAGTCCTTGCTGCTATTTATACTGTGTTTTTCCCCAGAAGTGTCTTTGTTCAATTTATCTTGAACATACATGCACCCAACAATATAAAATCACAGCATTTAAGAAAACTAAAACAGGGAGAAATACATATATCAAGAATTGTTTTTAGAGAATGAATGTACCCTTTTCAATAAGCCATTGGCTTTTGGTATCACTTCACCAATGTATGCTTCCAAGTTGGCTCAGCAAACACCCTCAATGATAAGATGAATTTCAGAATCTGTACTGTGGTTCCATGCACAAAAGAATGATAGATTTTATTACTGACCAGGTTATGTCTGATTGTCCCAATATCATTTATTAAATAAACCAAGATGCTCCACATTGATTTGAAACACCTTATCATATGCAGGACACCTTCTGGCTTTTCTTTTCTATTGGTATATTTATGCACCAGTAACAAAATTTAATAACTATTAGGGCAAAGCTGCCCTCATACTTATCTTTTTAACAATTTTGCATATTTATTCTTCCAGAAGGAAGTTATGATAATTGTTGTTTTTTAAAAACACCCATGGGAAGTGGGGGCTGTGAACCAAAGGGTCACAGGTTCGATTCCCAGTTAAGGCACATGCCTGGGTTGCCAGGTCCCCAGTGGGGGCCACATGAGATGCAACCACACATTGATATCTCTCCCTCTCTCTTTCTCCCTCCTTTCCCCTCTCTAAAAATAAACTTTAAAAATAAAATCTTAAAAAACTAAAATTTTAAAAAACAAACAAAAAAACACCCATTGGATTTTTATTTGTATTTGGCTTTCCAGGTAGACAACTGTGTCATCTGTAAATAATAGTAGTCTATGGCCATACCACACTGAATATGCCCAGTCTCGTCTGAAAATAATACTAAATCTTAATTTGTATTTCTGTTCTCATTGTACCAAGTACAAAGTCTTCTATATTCAAGAACATGTATATGGAAGAATAATCTTCCTTCTTATTGTATACTAACATTTAAAATAATTATAAATGGGGATAAAAAATTTCAGACTTCTGGCCAAGATAGAGGCATAGGTAGTACACTTTGCCTCCTTGCACAAACAAAAGAAGGACAAGAACAAATTTAAAAACAAAAAACAACCATGACTGCTAGAAAATTGAGCTGTATGGAAGTATGACAACCAAGGAGTTAAAGAAGAAACACTCATCCAGAATAGTAGGAGAAGCAGAGATGGACAGCCAGGGCAGAGAGGATGTGCACTAAGGTGGTAGCTGGAGGACTGGGTGGTCGAGGTGGCAGCTGGCTTATCCGGCAGTCCCACATTTGCATGCAGATATACCAGGAGGAACAACTGGGGAGCAAGACAGACTGTGCAACCTAGGGTTCCAGTGTGGAAAAAGAAAGCCTCAATACCTCCAGCAGTAAAAACCTGTGGGGATTGAGGCAGTGAGAGAAACTCCCAGCCTCACAGGAGAGTTTGTTGGAGAGACCCACAGGGCCTTAGAATGTACATAAGCTCACTCACCCAGGAATCAGCACCAGAAGGGCCCAATTTGCTTTAGGTAGCAGAGGAAGTGGCTGAAAGTGGGGCAGGAGCTGAGCAAGTGGCATTATTCTGTCTCTGACCCCTCCCCCACATACAATGCAGCATCATGTGTTGCCCCACCCTGGTGAATACCTAAGGCTCTGCCAATTACAACATAACAGGACAGACAAAGAAATATGGCCCAAATAAAAGAACAGATCAAAACTCCAGGAAAACAATTAAGCAAGGAAGAGATAATCAACCTATCAGATGCAGAGTTCAAAACACTGGTAGGATGCTCACAGAAATGGATGAGTATGGTCACAAAGTAGAGGAAAAAGTGAAATTAAGAAAACTCTACAGGGAACCAACAGTGATGGGAAAGAAACTAGGGCTCAAATCAATGACTTGGTGAAGGAAGAAATAAATATTCAACCAGAACAAAATGAAAAAGCAAGAATTCAAAAACATGAGGAGAGACTTAGGAACCTCTGGGACAACTTTAAATGTTCCAACATCTGAATCATAGGAGTTCCAGAAGGAGAAGAGGAAAAGCAAGAAATTGAAAACTTACTTGTAAACATAATGAACTTCCCCAATCTGGTGAAGGAAATAGACTTCTAGGAAGTCCAGGAAGCTCAGAGAGTCCCAAAGAAGTTGGATCCAAAGAAGCATACACCTAGGCACATCGTAATCACTTTACCCAAGATTAAAGATAAGGAGAGAATCCTAAAAGCAGCAAGGGAAAAGGAGACAGTTACCTACAGAACAGTTCCCATAACACTACCAGCTGATTTCTCCAAAGAAACCTTGCAGGCAACAAGGGGCAGGAAAGAAATATTTGAAGTCACGAAAGGCAAGGACCTACATCCAAGATTACTCTATCCAGCAAAGCTATCATTTAGAAAGGAAGGGCAGATAAAGTGCTTCCCTGATAAGGTCAAGTTAAAGGAGTTCATCATCGCCAAGACCTTATTATATGAAATGTTAAAGGTACTTATCTAAGGAAAAGAAAATAAAAAATATGAACAGTAAAATGACAACAAAGTCACAACTATCAACAACTGAACCTAAAAAAACAAAAACACCACAAAACAAAAATAAACTAAGCAAACAACTAGAACAGGAACAGAATCACAGAAATAGAGATCACATGGAGGGTTATCAGTGGGGAGGGAGAGAGGGAGTGGGGAGAAGGAAGGAAAAGGTACAGGGGATAAGAAGCATAAATGGTAGGTACAAAATAGACAGGGGGAGATTAAGAATAGTATGGGAAATAGAGAAGCCAAAGAATTTATATGTATGACCCATGGACATAAACTAAGGGGGATGCTGGTAGGAGGGGGGTGCAGGGCAGAGGGGAACAAAGGGGAGAATAAAATGAGACAACCCTATAATAGCATAATCAATAAAATATACCTAAAAAATTATAAGTGGATATTAAGTTTTATCAAAATATATTTTGTTATCTAACACAATTATTGTATTTCTCTGTTAACTTATTCAAGAGTAATACATTTAAAATTAAACACTAATATTAACAGATAATATCATTGAGTGCTTACTACTAGCTAGGCACCTCAGTAAGTACATTACAGATACTAACTTTTGTAACGTTTACAATGACTAGATAAGATAGAAGCTGTCAAAAGCCCCATTTTATGGATGAAGAAACTAAGAGACAGAGAGATTAAATTGGTTGAACAAAGCCATATACCTATTAGATCCATCTCAAGGTGCAAACCTGACCCTAGGCTATGTGACTCTAGAGTCTGCTCTCTGAAATTACTATGCCACCTCTTGATACACTCTGTTTGGTGAGAGGATGTGTATTAAAATATACATCCAAATTCAATCTGCTTGTGATTTATTTAGGACTTTGTACTACTTGTGTTAAGGTCAGTATTGTGGCTATGCCAATGTTATTAAATAAACGGGCAAACTTTTAAGGTTTTTTTTTATGTTTTAGATGAGTGTAAATAGCATGGAAACTATCTGTAAAACTTTATCACACAGTTCCTTTTATAACACAGTTCTTAAAAAGATTTTCGGTTTCTGCCCTGGTTATTATACTCTACTTTGATTCTATTTATTTTATTCCATCTATTTTTTAAAATATATTTTATTGATTATGCTATTACAGTTGTCCCATTTTCCCCCCTTCACTCCCCTCCACCCTGTACACCCTCTCCCACCCACATTCCCCCCTTTAGTCATGTCCATGTGTCATACTTATAAGTTCTTTAGCGTCTACAC